TGCGTTTGTTAATTAAAAACAATTGGAAGCCTAATTTGTTAAGTGAGCGATGTTTCAACTCCAAAGTTCATAAGAACATTTGTAATTATATATAGGTAAATTAGACTTTGCAAGTGATTATGCTTTGTCTAATGCGGTAATTACATGTGACCGACCGTGTTCTATACGTTCATAATTGATTCTGTAACTGCGAAACTGGTGTTCATAGCAACAATTCTCAAGAGAGATCCGTTTGTATATGTGCGCGTGTATGCGTGCGTAATATAAACACGCTCCGTAAATGTACTTAATTCATAAGAAGATGTGATGTTACTTTTACATGAATCTATAGACAGAATTGCTTAACTCATAAGGAAGCGTTTACTTTTAAGACCAAGCTGTGTTATATCCTCTCTTGAATTAATTGGAAATTGAAATCGATATTATTTCGATGGATTAAATTCTCGACGCTATACCATAGTAAGAAACGGTTGAATGAAATTTAATTGAATGAAACAATAAAAAGAATAAGATATGGCCTAATAAGAGTCAACGCGAATGTAAGTTGAATGAGATTTGTTTCGTAAAACTGGACACGTTTTGTAAAAGGAAAATTCACTCTTAATTTTGAGTAACAATAAATTCACAATTAAAGTATATGAAGATTGACACATTTTACTTATCAAAAAAAAAGGGAAAAGAAAAAAAGAACTTCACAGAGACTTCAGCTTTGTGCACAGTGTCTGTAGTATTTAAATCCACTGAAATGTCAATTGCAATTTCCGAATTTTTAATCGATTATAAGCCATGTCGCGCGATTCGCTTTGTTGTGCCTAGTCGCTGCGCAGAAATCGCTACGAATTTGCGTGCGAGCGCGGCGAGCGTTTAATTCGTATTAATCTGAACTCGTTAATTTCGTTTGTACTCCGTTGTGTCTATATGCCTCTATACACATATATATATATATACACATATATTGTGATACATACCTATATATGTCGTACAAGTAGTACGTATTCCGCTTTGGTCGTAAGATTTATGTTATAATCTAAAAACAAGAAGCAAAAGAACAGATAAAGAATGAAAGCAAGAAAGCATGTAGCTTGATCGTAGAATCAGATAGTCGGCAGAAATGTTTGGATATTCGGATTCTGTAATGTGTAGATGATAAAAAAAGTAGCTATTATCCTTGTGTAGTCTCTACCGAGAGATTTAGTCGCGATGAAGTGAATCAAATTCATAAACGCAAATTGTAACGCGATCAGCAATTTTCTACAATCTTAAGAATTCGGCAAGCGCGATGGAGAACGCATGCATACGAGGAAAGGTTTTGTGCCATTTATAACTCATTCTGAGCTATTCTGGGCAAGTGAGAACATTTAGTAATTGAGAAAATAATCAATTTAGCGAAATCAATAGCGAAATCAAACAAAACATCCACTGAGAAACATAAATAAGTTTAGAAGGGAAAATAGATATCAGTTGAGCTTAGATATCACATAATAATATCTGTAGTATTTTTTCATTGCACGTTTTAGTATAGAAACTTAAATACTATTGCTTTTATTTAACAAATTGAATGACGCATGATTAACACTATAGTTTATCCACTTAGGATCAGTTGTTCCATCTTCGGGTAAACTGTGTATTATGTGACAATTTATTTCATAAACAAAAAAAAGAGTAAAAGTGAAGAGAGTAAAAGAGTAAGAAAACGAACTGGAGAGAGAGAGAGAGAGAGAGAGAGAGAGAGAGAGAGAGAGAGAGTTTATCGAAAGGTGGAACAAAGCCTTAGCACTATTAAATTAAAAAGAAATAATTATAAATGTACTGTTAAGGAAGAGAGAACCATTAAGAGAATCAAAAAACTTTTTATAAAACATACATTAAGAAGAAAAAATTGGCGTTGAAAGGAATTCTGACTTCTATTTGAATTTCCTAAAAATGGGAACAGAACAGAATAATGAAGTTAGTTTCCAATGGAAATTAGATTCCTTCTAACTCCATTTATTTTACAGGACAAGATTGATCTACTTTTGTAAAAGGGTAGTAACTTTCTTATGCTTCGAGATTCGATCATGAATGAGAATGAAGACTATCATATGAATTATCTAGCAGGGAAGATTGCTGGTATTGCCATAGAATCTTTTTCCGTATGTATGCGTGCTTGTCGTATGATTTGAGGAAGCATCATACTTCGGTAGTCATAGCTAAACACTATTTTTGATCTGTGAAT